GACTCTGCCCTTTGTGACATGCGGTACCTCTTTCCTGAAGTCATTCCTTCACGCAAGGAGAAGGAATCAATCACGTGTACCATTCTCTAATCTCCACAACCCAAGAGGAGAGAGAGACCCACCTCCAGTAAAGTTCACAGTCAGGCTGTTCGTCTCCATAGTTGCATTATTTTGAGGGGAAGCACAGGCTCAAATGGGACAGAGTTTTGGTTCTGCTTTGGTATTGGGAGATGCATTAATTCCCCAAGTGCTGGGACAGGACATGAGCACTTAATTCAGTGGTTCCCAACTTGTGGGTCCCCAGATGTTTTGGCCTTCAAATCCCAGAAATCCTAACAGCTGGTAAACCGGCTGGGATTTCTGGAAGTTGTAAGTCAAAACACCTGGGGACCCACAGGTCAAGAAGCACTGACTTAATGGGTAAATGGACTGAGATGCCAGAGCTTGGCTTTTCTGGGTGCAGATATTTGGAAGCTTTAGCAGGGGAAGGATGCCAAATCAGGAGATAGCAGAGATGATGAAGCAACAATGACTGCATACTAGTTGGAACCATCTTTAGGGCTTTCCACACACATACAAAAAGAAGGAACGCCTTGCCAGAAAGTAAGAAAATTAGAAACCATTGTGTCTGTTATGACTGGAAACACTGCTCAGGGAAGGAGTGAGGAACATGTAGTCCTCCAGGTGTTGCTAAAGTGCAGTTCCCAGCCACCACAACCATCTCAGCTAACCGTGAGGGATCATGGAAACTACAGTCCAATATCAGCTGCTCATTCCCCATTCTTCACTCATGTCCGTGTGAATAATAAGACATGTGAAGGCCCCAAACCCCATATAGTGTCACTTCTCAAATAAAGGTAGCTTATCCACCCAATGTTTCTCTCTCTAGTCAGGCCAGTCAGTGAATTCCAAATAACAAGTAAGGTTACTGGATGTAAATGAAGACAGGCACCCTACCTCTTAAATTGTTGTGCAGAAATGGGAAATTGAATAAGAAAATTGCGGAACTTCTCTTTCATATGAATCATTACAATGTGGAGAAATATCCTGTTATTCATAGGACCACCTAAGACTCAACAAAATTTGTGGCCATTTTTTCTCCACACATTGACAAAGAAAGAAGAAAAACCCATACAGACATGGGAAGAAGACCATTTGGTTTGGGAGAAAATGCAATTTTAAAATCTTTTCTTTTTATATAAGTATATTAAACAGTGCCAGTGGGTACTGCATAATTAAAAAAATATTTGCTGTTCCTGGTGGCTTCCAGGAGAGGCGATTCCCCTAACCCAGGTGTGCTGTTGCACCAAGCTGCTCTAAATGTCTTTAGCGCTAACATGTCTTAACTTTATATCGGCTTGGGGGATGCTGGTTTGACTTCCTATTTGAGCAAGAAACTCCACAGAATCAATGTCCACACTATTGCCTTCAAGAAACAGTAAGGATTTATTAATTGGGCCTATCTCCACCCATGCACAATCTTGGGTTCCCCACAACAAAGTCCATACTTAAAGTTTGAAGGTAACTGGTAGTTCTTGAAGTTGCTGCTCGTGGATAATTCTAGAGATGAAGGACAGATGACAAATTCCCTTGCTGACTTTCTCTGGTAGAGGGGTCTCTGGGGCACCCAATGCCCAAAGTGATCAGGCCGGAGATTAAGAGAGCAGGTCTCTCCTATTGAGGCCTGGCATCTTGCTGAAAGTGCTGAAAACTCCACAGGCTGTCACTGACCAGCGGTAGATCAGTATAGCCGCATGAGTTCTCAGAATAGTACTGGTAGTAGTATATATAATATATATAATAATATAAAACTTTGGGTTGTTGTAGGTTTTTCAGGCTGTATGGCCATGTTCTAGAAGCATTCTCTCCTGACGTTTCACCTGCACCTGTGGCAGGCTTCCTCAGAGGTTGTGAGGAAGGGCCAACCAAGGGCAAGATGGATGGATGGCATTCTTGAAGTGACTGCATTGACCTTGAAGGAGCTGGGGGTGATGATGGCTGACAGGGAGCTCTGGCGTGGCCTGGTCCATGAGGTCACGAAGAGTTGGAAATGACTGAATGAATGAACAACAACAACAACAAAAGGCTGGGAAATTGAGGCATTATGGCTGTTGTATGGTTGTTGGCTGGCTTCCCAGTGGAGAGGGAGAAGACAATCTACCATGCTGTGGGAGCTGAGATGGGATCATGGGGGGAGGAGTGTCCTGACAGGTGGGTTGCTGCTGGTCCTGGGGGGTCCCGAGGGACCGTGGGAGATGGAGGTCATTCTCAATTCACTATGGCCTCCGTCCTTGGGAGAACTACAGATTGCGGGGTCCACATTGTTATTTTTTATTGGGGTGGGGGCAGGAGGATCTGGGGTCCTTGATATTAATGCCTCTAAAAGTGGTGTCAAATTGTATTAATATTACAGTGTAAATCAGTGGTTCCCAACCTTTTTTTGATCAGGGACCACTCTTTAACAATAGTACCAAAGGAGTTTTTGGTCAACTTTAGATTTGGTTTGAGGTGCTGATTCAGAAAATTGCATTGGATAGAGCATATCAGCTCTAGTTTCTGATACAGAACATACACCATGGTCAACAACAGGGAAGGAATGGCAGGCAGTGCGAAAGGGGCAGAAATAAAATAAAACAAAATAATAGATTTAGATTTGGATTTGTCTCTTTTAAATGGTCTTTTAACTTTTGATGACGTTTTAACTTATGTTCAAGTGTGTTTTTATTATTTTTGTTGGCATCTAATGTAAGCTGTTGGCATCTAATGTTGTAAGCTGCCCTGAGTCCCCCTCCTGGGGTAAGGAGGATGGGATATAAATATCTGAAATAAATAAATAAATAATAAAGAGGAAGGAGGCTCATGGACCAGTTTTTCATCCTCACGGCCCACAGGTTAAGAACCACAGGTGTAGATGCACCCACAGACGTCTTTGAAATCCCGGAGACTTGACAACCAGCCTTGCTTCCAAATTGCTGAGTCACTGCATCTGGCCATTCCAGGCTCTCTTTTCTGCCATAAATGCAATGTCATGGCTTAGCTCTACTGCTGCTCCCGCCCACTGCTTTCCAAGAACAGATAACATTCTGGCATCTTGTCATCTGAATTGTTCTGATATAGCTGCTGTCAATTACTCACCTTATCTCACTCATTTATTTTCTTTCACACTGTTAAGTTTAATAAAACAAGGCGTGGAAGGGTTTCGAGCCAACCTGGAGATGGTCGACAGTACTTCTGATCTGAAATACAGCCAGTGTGGTTTATTGCTTTGAGAATTAGACTCCGGTTGCATGCGGTTTGACATATCTTGAACTGCTGTGGCTCAATGCTATGGAATCCTTGGATCTGTAGCTTGGTGAAGCGCCATCCCCTTTTGGCAAAGAAGGTTTTGTGAAACCACAACTCCCATGATCCCATAGCACTGAGCCAGGGCAGTTAAACTGGGGACCACAATGCATTAATTCTACAGTTTAGATGGGTCTCCTTCATGCTGGTTCTCATACTGGGAATGCACAGTTAGGAAACCACACACAGCAAAGGACACACTAAAGTTGCATCACTACCCTAAAGACTTAATGCAGTTTGACCCTACTTTTAACTGCAATGGCTCTATGCTATGGAATTCTGGGAGCTGTAGTTTCACCATAGCTTTCTTTTTCAAATAATACCGGTGCTTCACCAAACTACGTGGAGTTGGGTTGTTGTAGGTTTTTCTGGGTTATATGGCCACGTTCTAGAGGCATTTTCTCCTGACGTTTCGCCTGCATCTATGGCAAGCATCCTCAGAGGTAGTGAGGACCACACTACCTCTGAGGATGCTTGCCATAGATGCAGGTGGAACGGCCATATAACCCGGAAAAACCTACAACAACCCAGTGATTCCAGCCATGAAAGCCTTCGACACTACATGGAGTTCCCGGTGGCGCAATGGGTTAAACCATTGTCCCGGCAGGACTGTTGACCGAATCCGGGGAGTGGGGTGAGCTCCTGTCTGTTAGCTCCAGCTTCCCATGCAGGGACATGAGATAAGCCTCCCACAGGATAACATATCAAGAAGTCCCCATGGGCAACATCCTTGCAGGTGGCCAATTCTCTCACACCAGAAGCGACTTGCAGTTTCTCAAGTCACTCCTGACACGGAAAAACAAAAAACAGAACCAAACTACATAGCAGTTAAACTTGCAGTAGTTCTCAACCTGTGGGTTCCCTAGGTGTTTTGTCCTACAACTCCCAGAAATCCCACCCAGTTTCTATTGAAGAGAAATATTGATAAGCTGGAATGTGTCCAGAGGAGAGAGACTACAATGATCAAGGGTCTGGAGAACAAGCCCTATGAGGAGCAGCTCAAAGAGCTGGTCATGTTTAGTTTGAAGAAGAGAAGGCTGAGAGGAGACATGATGGCCATGTATAAATATGTGAGGGGATGTCATAGGGAGGAGGGAGCAAGCTTGTTTTCTGCTGCCTTGGAGACCAAGGCATGGAACAAAGGCTTCAAACTACAAGAAGGGAGATTCCATCTGAACATTAGGAAGACTGTCAGAGCTGTTCAGCAGTGGAACTCTCTACCCCGGAATGTGGTGGAGGCTTCTTCTTTGGAGGCTTTGAAACAGAGGCTGGGTGGCCATCTGTCAGGGGTGCTTTGAATGCTTCTTGGCAGGGGGCTGGACTGGATCGCCCATGAGGTCCCTTCCAACTCTATGATTCTATTGAAGAGTTTACCAGCTGTTAGGATTTCTGAGTTGAAGGCCAAAACATCTGGGGACCCATAGGTTGAGAACTACTGAGCTAAAGAGCCAAGCTCCATTCATTCTGTATTGTAGAAGCACCCCAAAAGAGGAAAATACTAGCACCAAAGCAGGCTGGATGCGCGCGCATGTCAGGGGGGCGGGACCTAGCAAGGCGAGTTGCCAATCACTCCTTATGTCCCCGCCCACCCACCCAGTCCAGAGAATTCCACTCTCCTCTCGACCCAGCTGTTTATTCGCGGCGGCTTTCTTGCCTTACGTCACCAGTTCAGAGTGCGAGGCTCGCGGCGTCACAATAGGGCTGGCGCGTTCCATTGGCTGCGAGGCTCCTGTCAATCAGCGCACTCAGCCCGGGTCTGCCTTCTCCTCGGCCCGCTTGCCTTCCTTTCCCTTGACAGCCGACGGCGGAGCTTCTGCAGGGAGAGATCGAGCCGCGGAAGAGGAGGAGGAGGAGGAGGAAGATCGGCGGCCATGGTCCATTCCGGACGCTGCCTCCGCTAGTGGTGAGGTAGGGCCGCCTCCCAGTAAACAATGGGAGGAAAGGGAGGAGAAGGAGCTGCATCCTTTGAGATCCAGCAAATGCAGTCTGGTGCAGGAGTGCATCCACACTGTGGCATTTAATGCAGTTTGGCATGGCTCAGTACTATGGGATCAGGTAGTTTGACTCTTCTCTGCCAAGGAGGGCTGGAGCCTCACCTAACTACATCTCCCAGGATCCTAGAGCATTGATCCTGGCAATTCAAGAGGTATAAAACTGTATCAATTGCACAGTGTAGATCAGGCATGGGCAAACTCTGGCTCTCCAGGTGTTTTGGACTTCAACTCCCATAATTCCTGGCCTCAGGCCCTTTCCTTTCCCCCCTCAGCCGCTTAAGCGGCTGAGGGGGGAAAGGAAGGGGCCTGAGGCCAGGAATTATGGGAGTTGAAGTCCAAAACACCTGGAGGGCCAGAGTTTGCCCATACCTTTTCTAGATGCACCCTCTGATCTGGGTCTCTGGAGGGAATATGGGGCATTTACATAGGCCTAAACCCCATAGTTGAACTCCTCAACTAGAGTAGACTAATGCAATCCTTAGTATTGTTTACATGTTAACAGATTGTTCAACCATTGTTTCTGGGAGGTTACGATGTATCTAGATGCATCTTAAAGGAGGAATCTTTCTGCTTCTTTCCCAGAGGAGGAAGCCCTCTTCCCTACTGTGGAAGCCAGCCACCCCTTTCCCGCCTGTTCCATCAAACCACAGGTCTGAAGGTAAGAGTGCCAGTTTCTGGTGATTCAAAGGAAGGAAGGTGTTGGAGGAAGCTACCTTCGCAAGCCTCCTGTATGTGAAATTTGTCTATTTTAATACACGTGGTTGTATAACCTGAAGTATATGTCTTATTGGATTTGCAATTTCCTTATCTCTATATACCTAAAGCAGTGGGAGGGGCTGTAGATCACGTGACTGCTCAGTGACGGTTCAGAATGTTTAGTTCTAAACAGGATGACAGTTAGAGAAGTCAGTTGCGCAGTTGAGGAATGACTGTTAGAGAGAAGTGTTGGGTGAGCCTTGTGTATAGAAATACTACTACTACTAGTAATAATAATAATAATAATGCAAAAGGCCACCCTACTTATATCTGCGTGCATCATTCAAGGTTTGAATTCGGGGAGAGTGCAGATGAGCTCCCTCTTGTCAGCTCCAGCTCCCCATGAGGGGACATGAGGGAAGCTTCCCACAAGGATGGTAAAACATCCGGGCGTCCCTTGGGCAACCTCCTTGCAAACTGCCAATTTTCTCACACCAGAAGCGACTTGCAGTTTCTCAATTCGCTCCTGACACAGAAAAAATGCTGATACATCAATAATAATGCAAAAGGCCACCCTACTCGGATCTGTGTGCATCATTCGAGGTTAAAATCCAGGGAAGGTGCGGATGAGCTCCCTCTGTCAGCTCCCGCTCCCCAAGCGGGGACACGAGAGAAGCCCTTCCACAAGGATGGTAAAATATCTGGGCGTCCCCTGGGCAACGTCCTTGCAAACGGCCAATTCTCGCACACCAGAAGCGACTTGCAGTTTTCCTGACACGGAAAAAAAATTGTCGATACATCACACAGTCCTAGACACTTGGGAAGTGTCCAACGTGTGCTCATATACAAAAGCCAGCATACTGTTCTTGTTTGCTGTGTACTAGTCTTGTTATGTATCAAATAATAATAATAATAATAATAATAATAATAATAATAATTCAAAAATACATCACACAGTCCTAGATGCTTGGGAAGTGTTCGACTTGTGATTTTGTGATACGAAATCCAGCATAGAGATCTCATTTGCTGTGACATACTGTGGTTCTGTGTCAATAATAATAATTTATATATAATCCACCCTCTCTCCCCAGAGGGACTCAGGGCTTGGCCAGGTAGCAGCCTTGGATAAAGCAACAGCAAAGGGAGTTTTGATGATGCTTTGGCAGCGTTGGTAAAGGTGCAAGAGCACTATCCTCCTTTGACCCTGGAAAGGGGTAGGCAAAGTCCTGAAACATGCTGACATTTGGGATGGGATTTTACATCACCTCTAAATTTTGTAGGGGACAGGTGGGGCAATAATAATAATAATAATAATAATAATAATAATTTTGAAACATGCTGATATTTGGGATGGGATTTTACATCATCTCTAAATTTTGTAGGGGACAGATGGGGAAATAATAATAATAATAATAATAATAATAATAATAATAATAATTTTGAAACATAGTGACATTTGGGATGGATTTTATTTCACCTCTAAATTTTGTAGGGGATGGATGGGGGAATAATAATAATAAGCGGCTTACAAAGGGACAAGCCCAGAGAGCAGAGAGTTAAAAACATAACACAATAAAATAAAATAAAAAACAAACCAAATAGAAACATATCACAATACAATATAACATCATAAAAAACAGTACCATGGAGAGCAATAGAAGTGCTGAGTTCAGAGGGCTCTGAGTTTGTGCAAAATTCCTAGATAGAGTTAAGGGAAAGAGTGGATAAGCCCAAAGGAAATGGGGCCTTATTTATTTATTTATTATTTTTATTCACCCTATTTATACCTTGCCTTTCTCTACCCCAGGGGACAAGGGGGACAAGGCAACTTACATATGGCAGCTATTCAATGCCTTAAACACATACAACATTAAGATTAAAATCAATTGAATTAAAATTAATACGTATTAAAAATTTAAACCTTGCATTCAATATTAAAAACATGCCATCCAAAAATTGTAGTCTGAGGTATAAGGGACTTAAATCTGTTAAAGGAGTAGGCTGCATTGCCCAAATTGTATCATCCTAAAAAAGGATCACATTCAATTTTCTATCTTTTTTAAAATTCAAATTTTTAACAGAAGAAACACAAAGGAAACAGTGGTGGTGCCTATACATTACATGAACATACTTCAACATTTCCTAACATTTACAAAACTAACTACACATTTTCCCCACCAACCTACATCTCTACTCTAACTAAACATAAATATAAGATGCAAACATGTATACATAAATTGATCTTAGATTTGAGAAGAATAGAGTTGGATAAGTACAGACTAAGTTTATATTTATCCAGAGCCTAGGAATAATAATAATAATAATAATAATAATAATAATTATTATTATTATTATTATTATTTTGTGTCAGGAGCGACATGAGACTCTGCAAATTGCTTCTGGTGTGAGAGAATTGGCCATCTGCAAGGTTGTTGCTTAGGAGACCCCAGGATGATTGATGTTTTACCATCTTTGTAGGAGGCTTCTCTCATGTCCCCACAAGGGGAGATAGAGCTGACAGAGGGAGCTCAACCCACTCTCAGTGGATTTGAACCGCTAACCTGTCGATCAATTTTCCCCCAAAATCATTTCAAATCATTTAGCCTTTTGTTGTGTTGTTCATTCGTTCAGTCGTCTCCGACTCGTCGTGACCTCATGGACCAGCCCACGCCAGAGCTCCCTGTCGGCCGTCACCACCCCCAGCTCCTCAAGGTCAGTCCAGTCACTTCAAGGATGCCATCCATCCATCTTGCCCTTGGTCGGCCCCTCTTCCTTTTGCTTCCATTTTCTCCAGCATAATTGTCTTCTCTAGGCTTTCTGTCTCCTTATGATGTGGCCAAAGTACTTCAACTTTGTCTCTAGTATCTTTCCCTAG